GGGGGGGAGAAAAAAAAAAAAAAAAAAAAAAAAAAAAAAAAAAAAGTCTAACCAGAATATTTTAATTTGAATAGTCAAGTGTTTTGTGTTGCAGTGTATAAACTTTGATTTTTAAATGTTCCTACATTTTTAAAATAAGTTACAGATTTAAGTTTTTCTAAACTGAATTGAAGCTCTTAAGCATGGGTACATATTCCTGCTCCTCCCCTCCCTCCCACCTTTCTCCCTTGCCGAAGAGGCTAGGGATCCAGTTGTTTGAAGAAAAGAGTAGAATGATTTTGTCTTTTGATGCTGTAAATTCAGCAAGATCTTAGACATCATTAATACACAGAACACCTAACTTAAAAAACAGTTAGGTTTGCTAAATGCAACAAACTTGATGCAATCCTATGACAAAAAAATGAAAAGTCCAAACCTTATATTCTGTCACAGACACAGACTTACCATATTTACTAGAATATAAAATGACTCTGATTTATAAGACAACCCCCCAATAATTAGATTATCTATATGGTAATTTATAAATTTTTGTTATAATTTTCCAGGTTTAAAATCTAATTATTGGAAGTTTGCCTTGAATTTAGTCTCCTCCCCTTTCTATAGCAGAGAAATAAATCTGGGCTGTCAAGTAGCCCCCTTACCTTCTGCTGCCCCTTATTGTGAGACCTTACTCACTCTCAGCATATGGAAGTGAGAAACAAATTTGAAAACCCTGACCTTGAAATAAACACAGCTGTAGCAATTTGCATATAGTAATCTTGGAATTAATTCACCCAGAATTGATGCATGTTACCTTTTTTGAAACTTCTGTAAGTTTTGACACAGGTATTCCTTAAATGCATTTTTAAACAGCACGTAGCATAATTGTTTTTTGTGCAAAACTATATATTTATATATACATATATACGCACACAGTTCACTTGACCATTCATCACATACATCTAGCGTTAACTATCATAATTCCCATTATAGTAAATGCAGCTGTGCACCCACATGCCCATCACCGTTTGCTTTAACCATTACAACCGGACAAAATCACCTCTGTACCCTCTATCCTCTCCTTGCCACCCCAAGATCCTCCTCAAGCCCCTTTATTTCTTTTCCCAGTCCTTAGTCCATATCTTCTTCACCATCTTCCTCCCTGTTATCCTCATCGCTTCACCCCCTCTTCATCACCATCATCGTCCTCTTCCCCCTTGTCATTGTATTCTCTGGGGGTCCCATTCTTGAACAGTCTGTACCTTGTTTTCCTCTTCCACGTATCTTCCACAGTCTTCTCCCCATTGGTTCCTTCTGTATTCATACAGTGCAGCTGTAGCTGGCTCACTTCCATGTAACCCTCAACTGGGAGGTTTGCATGCCTGTATGTGACCAGGTTCCTAGTCTTCCACAGGGCATTTCTGAAGCAAGACATGAACTGGTCAAAATGGGCTATTGGGGTCCCCTGCTGTTTGGTGAGGTGTCCAAACAGTGCTGCCTCTTTTGTCAGGGTCTTGACTCCCATCACCATCTGGAGGAATCCACTTACTCTCCCCTACGCTTCCCTGGTGTATGGGCAGTTCCAGAGGAGGTGGTCAGTTTGTTTCCTTTTGCCACCAGCAGGTTTGCCTGGGGCAGACAGGTGAGCCTCTCTGCACCTCTCTGTTCCAGTGCCCACACAGGGAGTACCCATTGGGCTACCTTCTAGTTCAAGTCCCTGTGTTCCTTTTTCAGGTCCTTTTGGATGATTTGCTCCCACACAGCCTGGCAGTCATCGCTAGGAAGTACATGTAGGGGCAACAGTCTGTCTTTTGCCTTTACTACCTCCTGCATCTTATGGTCTTCAGGGCTTCATTGTGTAACTCTTACTTGTTCTGGAAGCAGTCCAAGCCTTTGTAGAACTATGGTGGGTCCATGGTCCACAGCTGCATGTTGGGCAGCATGTACACCTGGCAGTCTTGCAGCAGGTGCCCTGCAAAGTACTTCATGAAGCAGGCTGTTTTGGAGTTTGCAGATCTGGCTTGTGTACTTGGCACAGAAGAACAGCAGGATGTCTGGCATTCTTTGGCCTCCAGTCCGTTTGTCTTATACAGTGTGTTTCTCGCAACCTTCTCTCATTTGGAGCCCCTGAAGAAGATGCACATGGCTCTTTGGATTCTGTTAATGATTTGCTCTGAGGGGAGGAAGACCAGCCCGGTATA